CCAATCTTAAAGTAAGGAAACCAATCTTAAAGTAAGGAAACCAATCTTAAAGTAAGGAAACCAATCTTAAAGTAAGGAAACCAATCTTAAAGTAAAAGCATGTTTGAAATCCAATCAACAAAAACGACAAAGTGAGAGTTTGTAGTTAAAGAGCTAAATCAGGCAAAAGGAGCGGCAACGGCCTTGGATACAGAAACCAAAGTGAAAATATGTGGCGATAAAAACGTCTGTAACGCTTCCTTTAGCGTGAGATTAATAACTGGTGACGCTCCACATCTACACAGCACGCTACGTTCAAACCGACATATCGACTGTACTGTTACTGTACGTTTACTGTACAAAGACAAACCTCCACCATCACTGCGGTCCACTAACGCTCGCCCGACTGGGTGGAGCTTCAGCATTGAACGCCGTGCTACGACAGCTGACTTGTGGCGATGAATTTCCAGAGTGAAACTATAAACAGATGCAAATACGACACGTGGACTGACTCCGGTTCGTCTGGCTTGTTTGGGCTGTGGCTGTGATATTTATTTGTGAAGGTAAAGCAGTTAGTCATCTGCACATCGCTCGAACATCTAGTCCCATTTTTCAAAAAGCTGCTTCTCAGGACAGTTTTGGACGGTTCCAACAACTCGATGGATGCAGGACTGACTTTTTGTGTTCATCTCATCCATGATGATTTCAGGACATCCTTAAAGCAGCTTAAATTTACTACAGTCCTACCAGGACACCAGTTTGTGTCCGTGGGGAACGCGACATGACTCAACCTACCGCTCGTCTGGTTACGTCATTCAGAGGCGAGGCTCAGGTCAAGTTCAAGCAGGAATGAAAGGTTTGTGACCACATGGACTAAATCCTGCAGCTGACTGAGTTAAACTGAGCGCCCGGTGAGTGGAAAAGCAAAAGCACTGCAGTTCTCGTTAGTATAACGTTGAAGCTGATTCCACGAGCACAAACAGGACATTATCCACAGCAGTGTGCACGAGCAACCACAAATGTCTCCTTTGGCCGAGGCTGCAGAGCACACGGAGAGAAAAACCGGCAAGCCCCGCCTGAGAGGCTCTTAACGACCTCATCATTCTCTAAAATGACCTTCAACCAGTGTTTGCAGGAAGGTGGTTGGTCATATTTCATAATTCTCATAGTTTAAAGTTTTACATCTCTGGAAACAAGTTACCAAATCTGCCCGGTCTTGCTCATGAGATCTGAATGCTCCGTCCAAGAATCAGATAACAGAATAATGAAGCAGCACAAACTGAGGATCTGAGCTCACCAAATACGCTCCACGGTCTTCCTGGTGGCATCTGGGTCACTTTCCACTTGACTTTGATCAAAACTGGGGATGGATTTCATCCCTTCGCTTGTCCGGTTATTCTCTGGGCTCGTCCCAGCAGCCTCGGCCATCCGAGCGCGAGTGTGTTCATCTCTCTGTATCGAGTGCTCACAGAGTGTAACGAGACATTAACACAGGAAACGTTTCCACACAGAGATAGGTACACTGTTTACATATTGCTGTTTCTCAGTTATGCAGAGATTTACCATTAAGCACACATTTAGGTTAGCTTGTGTTTTTCTTTTCGCGGATGCTCACATTCACAAAAGATACCAAAGTCTTATTTAAATGGAGAGAGAGAGGAGCGAGAGAGGAGGGTCAGAGGAAGATCAAAGATTTGGACTCGGGAGCTCGTTTGGGGGTTAAACTTCTAAGTAAAGGTCATTAAAAACCTCGAAATGGAGGCGCTGATGAAGGGACGCTTAATATTACAAAGACATATTCAACCCTGAATGGACTGGACATCACATTTAGCTGGAACTGAAGCTCGTGTTCAGAGGCAACATAAAGACATGACAGTCTCATGAAATGGGGCCGGAAACGTCAACGGTTTGGGTCAGTTAGCAGTTTATGGTTAACAGATTACAACTGGAGCCTGTTATTAGTGTTAAAGTCCGAGTATTTGGCAGTACGCTGATTAGCAGTGACTATAATCAAAGGTCCTTTTTGTAAAGAATTCTTGGACAAAAGCAGATTCAATCCTTCAAAAAATAAACCAGCTTGCGCCTTTATGTCAAAGACATTTATGTTGCAGATGCAAATTGATGTAATACCTCTGTCGACCACCAGGTGGACCTAAACTGCTCACGAGAAATTCTCAAATTAGCTCAGCATTCGTACAAATGTTGCTAATCAGACTTATTTTATTCATTGGAGCACAAAAATCGTTCTGTGCATGTAGACGACTGTAGTGCTGGTGGAAAACTACACTGGAGCTCAGATGAAGCGCTGCCACCTTGTGGTGAAAATGTGCGTTGCATTTCCTGCCAGACGTTTGCTAAAAGTACCTTTAAAGATTAACGGCTGACAAACAGCAGGATAAACATCAAAGCTGTTCTTTGTGGTCAGGAAAAATGTAAAAATGTAAATTAAAAATAAAACTTCTTCTTGTTATTAAATGTTAGCATCCACACTCCTCCACATACAGCGAGTCAACCCGGAGGCCAAGAACCACTTACTTATCTCACACATCAGCAGTGGAAATAAACTCTCCTACAGACAATTATTGGCTGCGTTCAAGTAAAAACCCTGTTTTCACTTCTGAGTTTCAAACAGTTTGGAGTCGGGATGTTTTCTGGGATTTTCCCTCCATGCACTCGGGATTTTTACATCTTAACTCAAGCGGAGACGGCAGAGGTTCTTGGTCTCAGACGAGCAGACAAACTTATTTTGCACAAACTGTTTGAGCTCTCGTGCGCTGCTCTTATTCATTTGTGCAGAAAGCGTCTGAGAATTTAACAAACACATCTGCCAAACCACAAAGCACAGGCTGAATATCTGCATTATTGTCCACGTTTGAGCTAGCTTGTGCCGAGCTTAGCATTAATGACAAAATCTGTTTAAGACCCAAAGCTAGTAGCAGCAAAAACAAAAGCACGTAGCAGCACAAACGAACGTTTGGTGGTTGTTGTTAGGCCCCGAATGACAGCACAGCACAGACAAATACCGAGCTGGGACGATGAGGTGAGAAGACGTGGAAGGTTGGGTTTTTTGGAGGAATCGGATTCTCGGTTTCTTCAAAGGAATGCGGAACGTTTTGATCAGATACAAGGCACTATAGATTTTGCTATAGAACGGCTAAATTAGGAGGTTCTGGGCTGAGATTAAGAGAGGAGGGGGACGGGGTCACCACGAGAAGTTTGACTGACGACGGCGAAAGTCGGTGAAAGCAGGAGTAGAAGATGGAGAGCAAGTACAGCGGAGAGACTGATCTGGTGGTGGAGTAGAAGAGAGAAGAGGAAGGGCGTAGTTAGGACTGCATCTCAGCGCGCAGCATCCACGGAAACCAACAACAGAAGAGCAGCCTGCAGGAGACGAGGAGGAGGAGGAAGAGCAGGGTTCAGTAAGTCTAATCCTGCCTGCTTTGCTGGACTTATTTGGACTTTTGATAAAAAGGTGAAAACAGTTTTATTTTGCTTTTCTTTTAAAAGCTCAAATTGAACCGTTTCCAAAATTTCCTCTTGTCAAAAAGTCCAAGAAAGCCGAACAGCAAAGAGCGCAGGACTGTAATGTGACGGAGCAGGGCTGACCTGGATATGGAGCTCTCAGACGTGAGGTCTTTAGGAGAACGCATCGTGTTGAAGTTACGCTTCGGCTGTGACACTGCAGCGCACAAGCACACAACGTTTGTTAGAACAAGGAGACAAATACGGTTTTCAGGGGTAAAGAATGATAATAAAACACTATGGTCGTCACTTACTGGTGATCTGGTGGACCTTCTTCACCGTGGAGCTGTCGTTCTGTGAGCCGTCCTTAGGGCCTCCGATTCTGACAACAACAGTGTTTATTGGCGACTTTTAAGGCGTCGCTCAGGAATCAAAGATTTTAAAAAGCCTTAATGTCACATCGTCCTGGTTACTTTGAAGCTTCCCGCCAAGCTTCCACAGCTTTTAATGCTCTGCTGTATTTTCAGTTTTTTTCATATATTTAATCTTTTTCATTTCCAACATTGGAAGAATTTCTGAGCTAATTAATCCTGAAGCTGATTATCTCCCCGTTCTCATTTATTACACACACTAAAACATCACGGTACCTTCGACATATCCTCACCTCTGGACACGGGAGGGCGGAGCAAACACTCCATATTTGGGCAGGCAGCTGAAGTAGCGGACCCCAAACACCGAGCCGTCGTGTTTCCCTGTGGGCTGGTCCAGCTCGATACCGAACCAGTAACCTGCAGGGACACAGATCCGGTCACAGCTGCTCTGTCTGATAAGCATTTCTGCAGGATTAGTGCAAAGTTTCTCCGGACTGGAGAAGGACAGACAACACAGTCCTACAAGTATCCACGTGTGCACAGTTCAGAGAACCGACTGAGGATCAGCAAACGCACCTGGAGCAAAGTCTGTCTTGCCAAAGTAACGAACGATGCCGTGCTTCTGTCCGGCTACCAGAACCTGATCTCCGACCTCCACATTCATTCCCTCTGGATCCAGACTGGCTACTGAAGCCTTCTTCTTCTGGGCTGAGAATGCAGAACAAAACTGATGAGAAGCACAGATAAACCTAATCGAATGAAGCTATTAGCAAAGACTGTAGCTCGGTTACCTTTCTCTCGCTCTTTCTCCTTCTTCTCTTTCTCCTTCTTGGTCTTTCCTGCGAGGCGGGAGGCCAGATCCATGCGGGGTGTTCTTGGGGTGGAGGTGACTGATGAAGGCGTCTGGTCCACAGATTTGGAAATCTTTGAAACTGGAGCGAAAATCCCTGCAGGGCAGAAGTAGATCAAGCAGTGAGAAACAGCAACAACTCCTGTTTCCATGCTGGAAAGATGACGAGCGTGCTGCTCCACCAAAAGCCTCCACAAGAGCAGTCGGTCAGTGAGTTTGTTTACGATGAAATCAAAGAGCTCAGAGCAGGACTTGCAGCAGGGACAGCCGACTGAACATGAACAAGGAGATGACTTTAGATGGTGAAATGAGGGAAGGACTCTTCGTGTTTGCCTCCTGTGTTTTTTAGTGATGCTTTTGATGAACAGAGATATGACGTCTTTAGATGTCACGTTCTCTGATGTATTCACTGATTCGCTGGATGTTCTAAAGCTTGGAGGTCTTGAAGAGCCACAGTCACTTCCTGCAGATTCAGGAAGCAATACTAAACTTGAGTTAGGTTTGTCTGATTCCCCTCTGGAGGTTTTCTGGGAACATCCAATGGGGAGCAGATCAGAACTCACTTGTGAGAACCCGGAGCAGCTGGAAAAATCCTGGGAAAAGTCGCCTAGAATACGCTACTTAACACGGTGACTTGATTTCAGCTAACGGGAACAAAATGAAAGGAGTCTTTGTCTCGCCTGTAGAAACCACAAATCTCTCACCTAACTTGGGAGGGCAGATGAAGTAGCGGACGCCGCCCACGCTGCCATCGTTCTTGCCCTCTGGCTCGTCTAGCTCCACGCCGACCCACTGCCCGCTGGCGAACTCTGTAGTACCACAAAACCTCAGAGTGCCAGCCTGAGAGACACAGAAACAAAAAGAGAGGGCGGAGTCAGAGGTGACCTCTCGCACTCTCGGAGCATGACTGCAAAAGAGATTTTTTCTGGTTAGGTTGCATGGGGGCAGATAGTCTGGGTGTCTGCTGCTGTGTTTTATGAAAGGGACGAACGTGACATCAACGCTACAGATGGAGTGACGGTGATTTCATAGGAAGACAACATGTTGGCAGCGTGGTGAGTCACTTCAGTTAGTCTACAATCCAGCCACTCCAACCAACCTGTCTGCGTTTTGCAGCCGGGCTGTCGTCTCTGCTCTGGTCTCTGTGGGGCTGCACAGTGAAAACACACTGTTCAGAGCTCAAGAAGCACAGTGTGAAGGACAAACTGCCACCACACACACACACACACACACACACTGCTGTTTACATGTTGTTAAAAAGAAACTGCCGATCAGATTAACCTCTTAACATCCACTGGCAACCCCCCCAAAGGCTACAGGGTCCTATTTTAAACGCCCAAATGTAAAAGCTGTTAATAAAAAACTGCAATTCAAACAAGACTTTATTTGAAATGTAACATCTTCTAGTTTCTGAAAATCTGCCGACCAAAAATAACGACTTGATGCTCGATCATCCAGGTAAGTAAATCTGTTGAATATGTTCGTCGGGATTTAGACTTTTCAGTGGGACAAACATCAACTCATCCAAGTAAAGCCATTGTTCCTTCAGTGCTGCAGGTTTCAGTCACTGTGCAAATGTCCTGTTTATAAGGTTGAAACCTGCAGTCAGCTGAGACTGAAGACGTCACCTGATGATGATGAAACGTTTCTCCCACTGAAAACGTCCAGATGAACAGAATCCTGCAGAAACTGCTCGAAAATCCACCTACGGAGCAAATTCCAAACCACCGATCCCTTCCACATGTCAACCCAGATCAATCCAGGTGTGAAACCCCAGGTGAACATCAAGAAAACACTGGACCAACCTGGAGAGCATTGCTCCAAAAACCAGACAAAACTAGTTTCCAGGCAGGAGGGAAACTGGAATGAGCGTTTTGACACCAAAGTACAACTTCTGGCTTTCGATAAGAAGAAAGAAAATGCTGCATTCAACCATAAGAGCGTCATTAAATCAGTGAAGCATGGTGGTCAATCAATCATCATCAATGAAACGATGAATTCTGACTTATAATTAGCAGAAAATATCAGGAGACCTGTCTGTGAACTGAACCGTGCAGCAACACAAGAACCATCATCGCATCCTACAAAGAAGAAGAAGTCCTGACTCAGAGCCCCTCCCTGTCAGAGCTGAGGATGCCTGTACCTGGGAATGGGGTCAAATCCCTCAACAGCTGCCTGAAAAGGTCGTTTGTAGTTTTTGATACACGAGGTGGCTCACAGCAAATATCCAAAGCAAAGGTCCACATACCTGTAACCCTCTGGAGTATTAAAAAGTACAAATCTAACATTTTAATGTAATTTCCTGTACTTGCATCTCTTTGAGTCTCCTTGACCTCCATCCACCAGCTGCCACAGAACATCTTAGGGGTAGTTTGCATGTGAGCGACACGCTAAACAAGCACCGGCTCAGAAACTAGAAGATGCCACCTTCCAAATCTAGTCTCTTACACGAGTTCGGTCTTTTGTTGCAAGTCTGCATATGAGCACAAATATCATGTAAGTGAGTAGACGTGAACCAAACTGTACCTCTAACCCTAAAGAGGTCACTGTTGACCTGGTGGATGTTCAGAGGTTCAGGACCGTGATGTTTTAGGTCATGTTTATGCAGAAATACAGAAGATTTGTTGTTTCAATGTCCGTCAATCCATTTATCCCAGTTTGATCTCAGCGTGTCTGACCTTCATGTCGTCCAGCACCACGCGGTCTCCCAGCTTCAGCCCCAGAGCGGCCAGCATCAGGTTTCCTGGGATGTTGTCGTAGTTGGGCAGCGTGGCTCTGGGAAGATTGCAGCTCAGTGGAACGGCGTCCAGTAGCAGCTGCTTCAGCTCTTTGGCCACCATTGCCGCCTCCGCCTTGTCCAGGCTCATGTCCATTGGGTCGGGAACCACCTCTGCTGGAACCTGACCCTTATCGTTCTGCAGAAACAAGTCAGAAAGTCAGATTTGAGACGATAAATCACCATTAAGGGTCTCTGGATTTCAGCTTTAAAGGAACAGCAGCACAAAAAACTCAAGGAGCTGAAGCAGTCTTATTATCCTTATCCTCCACCTGCAGTTCAGACCTTCACAGACTGGATCAGCCAATCAGAGGAGAGCTCGGCAGAAGCTAAAAAGGCTTGTTACAGAATTAAAAAGAACTGAGGGTCTGCACCAAGGACCGGGACAAGGTAAAGAAGGATTACTTTGAACTGAAAATTATGCAAAGCTACGTTAATTCATGAATTAAAAACAAACAAACATGGAGCTGGAGATGAGCCCATTTAATTAGCCCCCAGTAGTAAGTAAGGAAAGCTGTCCTTACCCGGACGGTGGGGTTGGCTCCGTGCTCCAGCAGACATTTGACTGCACCCAGGCAGAGGTTGGAGGCGGCGATGTGGAGAGCCGTACCATAGTGGAAATCGCTGCATGTGGAGTTCAGGACTGAGGAGAACACGGAAGGAGAGTCTCACCTCCTGTTACCTTCAGAACGATCACTAGAATACTGCCTGGTGTAGAAATTACCTCTGGGTTTGGCTGCTTTGAGCAGGACTCGGATCAGCTCCGGGACGTCGAAGTACGCGGCATAGTGCAGGGCGTTCATGTTGGTCCAGCGGCTCCTCAGACTCACGTCGGCGCCCAGCGAGATCAGCTGAGTGGTGAGACGCAGCGCTGCCGCCGGGTCGCCTGCACACACAATGAGGACGAAACTAAGACGCGGAGGAGCTGAATCCACCACACGCACAGACGCCGGCCGCCCCAGAGCAGGTCCAAGCAGCTGCCCTGTACAATAACTTGGAACCACGTGAGAGCTCGAGTCGGCATTATTCCCAGTTGTTACATCAGGACGAACTAGAGGAACGTGGGACCTGAAACAAGGATCGCTCCTCTGCTCTTCCTCCTGAAGCAAAATCTCTTCTGAATCGAGGGTGGAAGGATTTGAGACTTTGGACTGAAGTTGGTTTGGTGTGTTGTTGGGATTTTTTTGTTTCATGTGATTTGTGATTATTAGAATTCAACCCCCTGAGGTCCAAGTTTTCACAGGTAATAACATTATTATTTTCTCGTGGGTGGAGTCAGAGTCATCAGCAGTAACGTCGAGTTAGACCCAGGATGGTAAAGTTGAAGATTTGTGATATTCTGGGCTGATATCAGCGAGTCATTTGTCAGATATTTATTCTGGGATGATTAACAGAGACGCACTGACTCCAGTTTTCCAAATGTGTCCTGCTGACTTAGACGATGTCTTTAAGAACCTGACAGCCTTACAAGCAAAAAGCAGCTTTTCTTCATAATTAAAGAACCTTTTTGAACATGAACTGTGGTGAGTTACAAGAGTTTCCTTCACTTAAACTACTGAACTAATGAAAGTGCTGAAAGTGAAGTGAAATGAGCTGCTGCCGGATACCCGACCTCACCGAGCCAGCAACTTTTTTTCTGTTTTTCACTCGTCTCTGTAGTTTTGCTCGTAGCCGCCTTGATCCTTTGCTCATACCGAGGCTGCTAGCTTGCGGCTGAGGTTTGGATAACTTTGTTAACTGGCTGAGGGTGAATTACGAGGTCTATTGTCTCCATCACTCACAGCGAAGAGCTCGCTAACAGCCACAGCCTCACACTAACGACCTGCCTGTGGGTCTGCAACTGAGTATTTGAACACATCGCTGTGTGTATGCTGCATATGAAACAGGCTAATTAAGTCAGGAACTGTCTGATCCTGGTCTCTGGTCGGTCGGTCGGTGCACCTCTAGACCGATGCTTCCCTAATAAGTATCAAATAAAGTAACTTACCAACTCCGTGCGCTCCGGCCTTGCAGCTGTAGTGAAGCAGCGTCATGTCGGTCAAACCATCGCGGTCGTTCACATGGCAACCACGCTTCAGGAGCTGAGACGGAGGAAAGACAGTTACAGGTAACCTGACCAGAGATTTCACACCAAAACTTTACAAACTGATATCTGCACGTGCAGGCTTCTGGAACTTTCCCTTTCTGTTTAGAGCCACTTGTACTCTGGGTTTTTTAATCGTGTCAGAGCATGTTCTGGTTTTCACACAGCAGTTATTGATAGCAGGCTTTCAGTTTTCTGGATTTTTAGGCGTCACTTTCCTGTCACACTAAACAAAAACGTTAAATAAAGCCAGGAGGGGCAGATAGCTGAGGATACATTTATGATATTTTATTTAACATCAGTATATCGCTCCTACATGTGATGTTATGGTTGTATAATAAACCCTAAAGTGGGAAAACCCTGAGTTCACATCCTGGCCATGCTGGCCGCCAGCCTTCCAGCTCGTTGGCTGATTTCTTCTCCGCGATCGTCGCTGTGCCGCTCTCTCCTTGTTTTTCTTTCCTCCAGGCTGAGTCGGCTTCACGCTGAGTCACGCTGAAGCCTCACTGACTTTCCATCGCTCCCTCTCTCTCTGCACCACTTGCTCTGCCTCCTGTTTCCATGCAGCCATTTTAACTGGGTCATTATCACCATCTCTCTGTGTGCAGCGCTGCTGCCAGTGTGACCATTACAGAAGGTCTGTACAGATATGCCCCCTTCATAAACCTTTCCCCTCCCTAAGGGATGGATTTCTTTAAATAATTGTTTATGTTACGATGAGCGGATGGGCCTGATGATGCACATGGATGCTGCTGCTTTAGGTTTGCTTTGGAGCATTTTCAGTGCAGTGATCTGACAAACAGCATGTCCAGCTGTGGGGCCCGCGCATCCAATCTTCTCTAGGATGTTATTTGCATGTTGCTTAGCAACAATTACATGGTATCTGTGCCTTGGTCACCATGGTTGCTAAAAACTTGGCACAGCGGCTTCTTCTCACTTTTGACTAAAAATAAAGTAACGGCAGCAACAACCTTTGAGACGCTGCTGGTGATGCAATCAAAGTGCACATACAGGTGTCTGAAAGCCTGGGACACTTTATCACATGGAAGAGCCTCCATATTGTTATCTGGTATCCAGTCCAAATCAATCATCAAGAATAAATCATCTTCCCAGCCTGTATTTTTTAATTGCATGGACCATAATTTGTGCTTTGAACAGAAGCTTTCAGCATTCAGGCTTTAAGGGCCTGACAAGAGCTGCTCAGAGAGACATCACTGTGTGTGTGTGTGTGTGTGTGTGTGTGTGTGTGTGTGTGTGTGTGTGTGTGTGTGTGTGTGTGTGTGTGTGTGTCCAGAGGGTTGAATCTGGGTCAATGTGACAATGAATCAGTGTTGGCTTTAAGCCAGTGACACAGAGGACTGCAGCAGGCTGAGAGAGAAGCTGCAGCACTGCCGAGGTTTCAAAAACGGAGACATGAGCTCCAAAGTTTAAGCCTAATGGACAAGTTATTAAAAAATTAACTATGAATGTATGAATCAGGAAATTATGTGTAGAAAGCAGCAAGTTTCTATGCATCAGACTGTAAACGTGTTTATTTCTGCTGTAAAGTTTGAACAGGGGAGTCTGTGGGGACGGACTCACTGCTGGAGCCTCTAGTGGACGTTAGAGGAACTGCAGGTTTTCCAGTGTTTTTTTTTTTTTTGCTTTTATGTTCTCACCTCATTGCCGATGATGTCAATCTTGTGCTGCACCTGGGGAACCCACTGTCGCACGATGGCGAACAGCTCAGGGACCGTGGTTTGGGGATTCATGAGGATCTCCAAGCAGGCCGGGTCATTTGGGTCGAAGAAGGTGAACGCTGCACGCAAACAGGAAGAAATCACAGATGAGCTTAAAGAGACAAAGAAAGGTAAACGGAAAGCAGCGAGGAAAGCAGGCAGGAGATGGTTCCAGACAGTGACACCAAGAAGAATCTGTCCCCGTCATCAAATCAGAAATAACCTGCGAGTGCTGCAGTTTCTCTTCCTGCAGGCTCTGCAGCTCTGAGGAGGGTTTTATTTCACTGCCATCAGCCTGACAACCTGCCCCACTGCGACTCACTGTGAGCAGCTCCGGGAGAGCCATTCCACTTCCTGCTAATAACAATGAAGGAAATCAGCTGCATATTCATCTTGAGGCACAGCAGGGGGCGCTCATGAGCTTGTCCTCAATAGCCCCTTTTCCAGTAGTACCTACTCGATCGACTCAGCACGATTCGCTACAGTTTTCAGGGTTTTCCATTACGTCATACTACCTGCTCACTCGGGGTTCCTAGCGATCTGAGCAGGTACTAAAATGTGACATCGTCAGACTTCATCCCACCAACTGGCTGGTCAGTAGCGTCACTCGATTGTTTACGAAAATCCAAACCACCATTTTTGAAGCTTGACTACGAGGGAAACGGCTACAAAACGACGCCGTGATCCAGAGTGTGAGAAAAGCCACAGACGGAGCAGCAGGTATATCATCACCTCGACGTCCACCTTTGTTGTGGCAGTCATGTCATGACACGCAGATATGTTGCTATGACGACAAGCACGCACACTGGGTTGTAATGGAAAATCAGTGGATCCGAGTAGGTACTAATGGAGAAGGTCTTATGAATGGCACTGAAATAAAATACCACCGATGTCTAACTTTATCTATAAAATGCATTCTGCTAATGCAAGCTGATTGGTCACTAAAGGACGTCCTCCCTCAATGGCGCCCATTCCCAAAAGATAACCGGACGTTCGAAGTTAAAGAAGAAGAAGCAGCTGGTTGCGGTGGTTGAAGGTGATGCAGCTACACAGTCTCTGCTGCTGTTTGCTTCACGCCCCAAATCAAAATGGCAGCTGCCATTAAGCAGCTTGTGGTGCTGTAACATCAGTAATACTCAGATACAACAGAAACCTGTGAGAAACATCTAAAAATTAAAGTGAAGCTGTTGTGGGGACCAAACATTTACCTCACATTTATATTTTTGCTCTACAGCTCCACAGAGCGGGAAGGGAGCAGGAAGTGCACAGAGTAGGAGTTAATGCTGAAAGAGTAAAAGTCAGCGTGAGAGCGCCCTCTGCTGTGCTGCTCCGTGAACTGCGGTGATTTGCTTACTGAACAGTGATTGGCTGTCATCAATACAACAGGCCGATCAGTCAGACTACGAGTGCTGACAGTGAGCTGTGACTCCAGCAGCCTCCACTTTAACAGCGTGACTGGCAGCATTTAAGGTGTCTGAATTTAAGGTGGTATGACGTACCGTAGTCTTTGGGCAGCGGTGCCTGGGCGGACGGGTGCACCATGGCTCGGCGCCGCGGCTCGTGAACCGGACTCTGGTACTCGGACACAGACACGGGCTCTGGCTCCGGTTCGGCCGGAGCCTCCTCCTCTTCCTCGCGCTCCTCTCTCTCCTCCCGCTCCTCCTCCTGCTGCTCTTCTTCCTCATCCTCCTCCACTTCTGTCCTCTCCTCCTGCTCCCTCTCTTCCTCTAGCTCATACTCCTCCTCTTCCTCTTCTTCCTCCTCCTCTACTTCTTCCTCCTCTTCTTCAGTCAGCGCCTCCTCCTCCTCTCTCTGGACCCTCCCCTCCTCCTGCTCCTCCCGGTCGTGCCTCTCCTTCTCCTGCACCTCCAGGTTCTCCTCTTTTGTCATGATGAGGGATTCTGCAGCAGGGCCTGTCAGAGAGGACGCAGTAACAGATTTTCATGAGATTTCTATTATTTTGTCCTTTAAACAACATTTTGCTCACATTTTGTTCAGGAATTCTCAGCGTTTGTGCTCCTCAAACACTAATGAGAATACAAGCAGAGGTTGAAACAGGAAGCTGGATGTTGGAGAGCACAAACTGTCAGTGAGTAGTAAATACTAATAACTAAGGACATCCCTGATTCAGGGAGCCTTACGTCCTCGGTCAGGACACCATCCAGTCTGACTGACCTTCATGAAGAACCAGGTTTCACAGCCTTTCTTGATGTTTTACTCCATCAGACTGCTGGGCCTTCACACTTTTTGACCGACTGTACAAGTCTGATCAGAGAAGACAGGTGTGTGCTAACAGCCACGGCTGGCGTGCCCTCACCCCGTCTTTGTAACTGACACCGAGTCTCTAAAGGGAGCTGCTTCCTTTGCTTTCCTGCGGACTGAGGTTCTGTTTCTGTCACATTGTCTGGTGTGACCTGAAAGACTTCTAGCTGCAATGACTGCCCCTCTTGTTTGGTTTAATATTCGCATTTTGTGAAACAGAATCAACCACAAGAAGTCCAAAACTGCGAGACGGGTGAGACTGCTGCAGATAATAAGCATGATATGAACCAGAACACAGGACATCACGAAACAGACCTGGTCATAAGAAGCACGACATCATCGAAACCAGAGCCACAAAACACGGGACACAGATCAAAGCAGGAAATCCAAACTTCCCCCAGAAACAAATGAAACAGAAAACCTGAAAACAACTCGGAAAACATTCAGCTGCTACGTCACATAGAAGCTCATTTTCTCTGCTCCAAAAAGACAGAAAATCGTTACCTTTCAGATGTTTGATTGAATCTAAGGTGAGGTTACAGTTTCAGACTAAATCTGCTCCGTGTGATGTTTCCAATGTTCTGTGCACAAACACTCAAAATAAAGCTTTATTGGCAGCACATAAAGACAATGACCGTCTGCATCTTAACATCACACCTGAATCCAAACGGTTAGAATTCTATTACTGTGCTGTTACATGAAACTAACATTACTCAGATAAACCTGCTGCTAATACTGGGCTCGAGCTTAGTTATTACTTGGTATTTACTCAATAATTACATTTTGTAATTACATAATTATTCCACTAGCACCACATTATGTTTCTGAGCTGTGCTGTGACGCGCTTCAAACAGCTTTACTTTAGGTTTCTGCTGCAGAATGACTTTAAATAAACAGATTCAATCAGTGACGCAGTTTGTTGCCAGTAACACAACATTTCAGCAGTTTGTCGTGCCGTGCCGTGTCGAGCCGTGCTGTACTCGGGCCGGGAGGGCGTGGCCAGGATGCAGCTGAGACCGGCCGAGGTTTGTTTTCCGTCAGAGTCTTGTTGTCTCTGTTTCCATTCAGCATCACAACACGAGTGCTAAGTATCACTCCAGAGAGAGTGTGTGTGAGTGAGTGTGTGCGAGAGAGGAAAGAGCTGAAAGCAGGCTAATTGACCCACTGCACAGTGGCTTAGAGGGCTAACGCTAACCCTTGCTGCCCATCATTAGCTGTTGACTGGATTAAATCCACTTTAGCAAATGGACACGATGCTGAAATCCATCCGACTGCATCCATCACTGAGTCAGCATCATGCAGAGTGTGCTGGTTTAGGTTTAGGCTGCTTTCAGACGCTAAAGGCAGCGTTTTCTTTACTTCTTCACGTTATTTATCAAATGTCTGTGCGACGCAGCCGTGCAGTCTATGCACGCCATGGATCTCATGTATCTGCAGAATCTTCCAGAGCAGACCTGAACGTGTCACTGTGGGCTGTTTACACGTGAAAATGACCTGAAAAGCATGAGTGGGATAAACACTTCCCTCTGTGCACCATTTAGTGGGTTTGACTTCTCTGATTAAGCTCGTTATCAGTGCTTTATGTAATCTGAGATCCCAGCGGGACACAACGACAACAGGACTCAGCTGAGGCCACGACCGAGGTTACGCAACACGACCCTACGAGTCAGCGTGGACACACACACACACACACACACACACACACACACACACACACACACACACACACACACACACACACAGGTGAAGTGCATAAGCATCCCGATGAATCTCCTAAAAATAAGCTCAGCTGCTGCTCTCTGCTGTGTTAACGAGGTTCCTGTTTTCAGACGCCTCGCTTCCAGGTCAAATGATCCGGGCTGATTTAGGACCAGTGAAGGCGACACGCACATACATGTTACATGTATTCACTTCATGTTTATGGCACATGTACTAAACACAACTTCATGTAGATTTACTGAAACAAAAATAAAGAAATGAGATTCCTGATGAAAGCCTGAGCAGCACCAAAGTTACAGCCACGCTCAGCATTCTGAGAACAGAGATCATCTGTGTTAATAAACATGAGTTTGGATTATATTCCAGATTATTGTTGACTGGACAAAGACACCGAGAAACAAGAAGCGTTTCTGTCCCTACAGGTACAAACTGCAGCACGTCGCCTCTAAGGAGGCGCTTTTGACCTTTCGTAAGGCCACTGTGCTACATCCATGTTCTCAAACAGGAACAAACGTTCACAGTCACAGGCTCTTCTGGGTTTTTCTATGTGCACCATCAGGAGAAAGTCAGTGTTCAGACACGTAAGACGTGTTTCCCAAAATCTCCACGATGTCCAAGATGTTCCCGTTTTAAAGATAACCACGTTGTCCCGTGTTCAAAACGTTCCTTCATTAGCAAAACAAACACATTCAGCAGTTTCCTTATAGCCAAAACCTCCCAGCAAAGTAGCAAAGCCTTTCCCAGTAATAATTTTACCATCAATATACTCCAGGGGATTTTTTATGTGACCCCAAAAAAGCTCATTTTAAGGAATAGCTAACAAACTGCCCCCCCCCCCCCATAATATTCCTGCTTTCTAAAAATTCAAACTTTCCAGTAAATTTCTAAAATCTCCAGATGTTCCATAATGTTCCGACTTTCCTAAGACCTTCCAGCGAGCCTTGAATCTGACCACATGAAAGTATTTCCACTTTTTTGTCTTCTCGTGGAAGCAACTTTTCCTTTTTCCTGCAACACAGTGTCGAAGAATACTGCTACTTTCCAAAACGAACATTTCCCCCAATTTTCCTCGTGAACAAAAATATTTTCATTTCCACAAATCGACCGGCTCAGTTCACACACTGGAGCAACATCGACCTCTTACTGGGAATACTGGGAAAGCTCTGTTACCACCAACAAACAGCTCCTTTTACAGATTACATGACAAACTGCGCACTATTTAAAATATCCATACTTTCCAACATATGATGGATAAATCTCCTCATGCATATTCAAAGATGTCCGTGTTTTCTTAGATCGGCCCACTCAGCTCGCAGACCGAAGGATCGATCTCTTACTGGGAATACTGGGAACGCTCCGCTCTACCCAGCAAAGAGCTCGTTTTACAGATTGACCGACACGCAGACCTGAGCGCTTATAACGCGACAGCTGCGCGATATTTGTGTGGGTTTGTGGTGGTTAGAAGCTGTTAGACGCCACGTGATGTGGGAGGCGGAGGAAGGAAAGGAGGAGAGGAAGGAGGCCATGGCAGCTTCAGCATCCTCCTCCTCCTCCACCCAGCCTCCATTTTACATCAAACCAAACACGAAGACAAAATCGCTGCAAACCGAGTCAGAACATGCCCGAACCCACGGTCTCCTCCCCACGCAGCGTGTTTCTGACGCTGAGTGATGAAAATGTTGGGATTCGGGTTCGGTGCGCGTTTGTGGCGATGTGCGCAGTGAAGGCCAGGACGGGAAAAACGCCCCTGTGACACAACGAAAACATCGGCAGGCTTAAAGCCCACCGGAGCCACTGTAAAGAGATTTGAAGCTGCTGCTGCTGTTTTCTCCATCCTTCCTCCGCAGCATCGTCATCCTCACTAAAGCACCTGCTCTGCCTCCATCGTCTCGTCGCCTCCAAACCCCGTAAATGAAGCTCAGCTCGGACTCAAATCTGCGCTTTGACGTGTTTTACTTACCTGAGAACAAGCCGCTGGTTGATGAGTGGGTGACGAGCTTCTCTCTTGTCTGATGGCAGCTCCGCAGCACTCACCTCTGTGACGCTGCGCTCCTTCCGCCGCTGTATATAGTCCTCCCTCTCTCCCCGCCCAGACGGTTCTGGCTGTTTCCGTCTGCGTCGCTCCACCGCCTCTCTCGCTCACCTCACCGCAAACACTTTAAAAGTCGATGAAACGTCTGAGGAGACGTTAGACTATTTTTTAAAAGTGGTAAACGTGTATGATTACAATTATAATAACGCCCCAATATCCGAAGTATGACTCATTTACAAATCTCTGTGCTTTCACTGCAGCGGCATAAAGTGAGCTAAAGAACAAAAAGAAACTTCATTTCACCTCTCAAACATCGCTGTGCGTGTCTCCTATATGATATATTTAACTGACATTTTTTGTTGTAACAACCAACGATTAATGCAGGAAAATAATGAACAAAGTTGCCCAAACGTTTGCATCCCGCTGTATAATTCCGTCCATTCTGGTTACTCACACTGAAATCTACCATCTTCATCACTGCCATGTTCAGCTCTGCTTCCTGTCATTCTGTCATCTCCAAACCACACATCACAGCATGTCTCACTACCATTTATTTTTATTTAAAAAGGACAATGCACATTAATCTACACGAGCACCTGTATTCATTATGTAAATATTTAGCTGCTAGCCAGGTTGATGGCATATTAAATTCTTTCA